ATGGGGAACCTAAATACCTAAACCGCCTAAACCCTAAGGCCTACAGCCTAAACTCATGGCATAGCCTCAATGCTGGGCAGCGTGTCTATAAAAATCAAAGCCTACCGCAGCTGTCAAAACATTATTTTTGAATCGGAAGCCCTGTACACCGTCATTCCCAAGTAAACTCTAAAGGCCTAAAAGCCAAAGCACCTTCAATCCCACGAACTCCTAGAGCCCAAGCCCCGCAACCGACCACCACTCAGACTCGCGCCACGCGCAGGTACATCCTGCATGAGCCCGCAGCCTTTCATGAGCGCAGCGAATTTCTCTCCAAAGCTGAAGGCATGGCATAGTTGCAGGGGCTGGAATTTCTATTACCTGATACCTGCGCATTGCTGTAGCCATGCTACCCCAGCAACTAATCTCACAAGTCCCCCAAGTATGGTTCTATATTGGTCTCTAGTTTGGTCGTAATGATAACCATGAGAAGTAACCTGCACTCCAAGTGGGGCTGCACGTTAGTCCTTATAAGGCCTTTCTAAAGAGCCCAAGACCCAAATGATGGGAAGGGCTTACTGGCGGGAATCCAGTGATGAATCAGACGGTGGATATTCAAGGACGGGCCGTCTGGCTCATATAAGCGCACCACAGCGTGATGCGTGGGTGCCCATGGTGCCCAGTAAACTACATACTTCCTGAAGCTCTGGATCCTGTTTGGGTCATGCCCTCGTATAGCCCATGCGAGGGGCGTCTCGTTACAAACGTTTCCGCTTGATGCTTTGATAATTTTGCAGATCCCGGGACAACCGCGGGATGTGCAATGATTGTTGTCGACGTGGCTTTGCAGCGCAACTCTTTGGCCTGGCAGCTGCCACGCAAATTCTCAAGTATCCCTATGTATCCTTCTGTCGCCCTGCATCTCCCTATGCCCCTATGCAACCTTATATATCCCGATGTAAGCATATACCTCCCTCTATAGCACCCCCTGTGTAACCCTGTTACCCTATACCTGCTATGTAAGTTTGTGTGTCCCTATGCAACCCCAAATATGCGCGGCGTCAGCTTTGGGGGGATCCGCGGCCCGAGCTGCAGCAGGAGTTGCAGCTTCTTGGGCAGTTCAAGGGGCGTTTTATGATTAATCAAGCTAACCCTGTGATAACCGTTGAATACGTAAAAATGCCTCCAAAACTTGGGAAACCTATGTTGGGAGTTTCTATTCGAAAAGGGCCTTGCAAACGCCTGGGGCATATGGGGATTACGAGCGAGTCCTGGGGTCACCATTCGCGACCTTGTAAGGATTGCTCTGAGATGACCCTGAAATCAGCCTTCAACCCTGGACCCAGCCGAAACCTTGAACCGTAAACCGGGCCTTCGCAAAAGCATTGTGTCTGGCGGAACAGAGAGGCCCGCCCACATGCACAACCTGTGGCTCCATATTGCTTTCCAGCGCTTACTTTAAGCTAAGGTTTGTGATTGTTGCGTGTTCCGGGACTGGGGGGTGGAGGTTTCAAGTTGGGGTCACTGAAGGGTTCACATGCCTCATGTAGTGTAGGCCTGTTGCTGGAGGCTCCTAGAGTTCTCATCCTTTACGTCCCAGTTTTGTCTCAAGGCATGCTGGGTTGTTCTGGACTGTATCCGAAGGCTCTGACTGCCCCAGGCTTGGGGAAGGTTTGGTCTTCAGGGCTCAAGCTCCAAGAGCTTTTGGCAAAGCCAACAGTTGGAATACTTGATACTTGAAGGACTCTGAGGCAAAATCTTTGCGGCCCAACCCTAAACCCATCCTAACCTAAACCCTACAGCGCCCAATGTAGGTTCCCTAAACACTTAAACGCTATACTCTTGATTTATAGACTCCGATCCGCAAAAGAGAAACTGTGAAAGCAAAAGTCGAAGCATCCTCATACACGATGTATAGGGACCTAGCTAATCTGAATATGGTCTGGGGCTCGGGATACCAGAAGTGAATAGTGTTCTTGCAGCAGAACATACCTGAGCTACATGAGGATTCTGTGGGGAATTGTATTGGTAATTGCCTAGGCTTAGTAGGTTTCTGGTGAGGAGAACATAGCGCTCGCTAACACCAGAACCAGAGCCCTGTCTTCGTTACACTTGACACTTGAAGGTTCATGAGGCTTAGCTACTACTTATAACTGGGCTTAGAACCGGAACCTTACTTATACCTTGGGTAGCCCACATAAGTCCAGCTGGGGGAACTGTAAGTAAGGTAATGCCATACACCCAAGTGCCAGCAGTTGCTCAATCCCTTGAACCTTCCAGTAATGCAGCTTTACATGCACGCGGCCAATCATCACCTCGGATCATACTTACACATGGTTAGCAGGCAATGAAGTCATGGGAAATAACATGGAAACCATGCTATCATTGGGGTTTCTATCGGGACTACTGTACGGATCCATGTCTTCATTCCGCTAACTGATGGTGAGGATAGACCCATGGAGGGCCTCTGTAGAAACTCTACCAGGGGGCCAAAGGAGCCTGTCAATAGTATTCCAAATCTAGACCTCTGCTTGGAGGTCCAAAGCCATGGACAACCCGTTTTTCCCTCATACAACACCCGAAATTTAATCGTCTTAGAGAATTTAGGGGTTTCTACGTGATATGTACAATCATGTATTTAATTTGGGAAATTGATATCCTGAACTTCCAAGTAAGTCCCTCAACAGCCAATTTCTTGCCAGCTCCGCAGGCATTGGTGCTCTCAAGTTCTTCGATCAGTTTCGTTACCGCAGGCTTCTACCATGCGGTTAGAATGAGAATCGGAGAGCTTGGACTATGGGATTTGAGCTTCCAGCGGCAGACATCAGAGTACAGCATCTGGGGTTCAAGGTTTCCTGCGCGGGGGGGTGGGTGGGGGAGGAGGGAACCTGCAGTCCTACTTGAAGGTCTATGGGCTTTGTAGGTATTCAACTGGGGCTATAACCTTCCCTGTGCTAAGGGCAACCTATATCAGTTCGGCTAAGGGATTACAAGTGGTCCAAGTAAGTACCAAGTCCCATGAACCTCCAGGGATACACCGTAACCTTAGGCCTTGGGCCTCTTCTCGGATTGCATAGGGTGTTGTTGCGGGAAATCGTTCGAGTAATCTGTATTTTGACGGCTGAACATGGTATGCTGGTAGGAGTATGTTACTCACCATTGGGACTACAGTGACCCTATTCCAGTTACCTGTTTGCCAAACACGCCATGTAGCAAACGATGAATCACGTGTTTTATTGTGGCCCATGCTAGGGAGTCGATAACGGAGGGCCCTGGCAAGTCTTTCCCATCAACGTTTGCTGCCAGCGGTGCTTGTGCATGCAGCCAGATTGCCCATGAGCTGGCACGGTTTAGAGTGTAGGGTTGAGGGTTTAAGCTTGAGTTTGTAGGATTCAGGGTTTTGGGTAATTATCCCAGAAATTAGGGCTCAGGGTACAGGTTCCTATGAGCTGTAGTCACTAAACCTCATATGGGTCTTGACCTACCATCCATCAGTGCTTTGCCAGTTTAGGGCTTAGTTTTTCCTTTAGGCCCATGCCATTACAGATGTTCTTCGCATAGTAACCAAGTCTCCGATCCTGGCAAGCATAGGAGAATCTGGGGAGCAAATTGCCTTTGAATGGCAGCTGTCTGCTCCTGATAGCCTGCTGGTAGTTTGGTGATGAACACGTGGCTCAAGGTACCAGGGCTGAAAGAGGCCCATGTATCTAGAGGTTTGGGCTTGCAGGTCAGGGGGCAATATGGGAACTACTTTGAAATCTGCGGCCTAACGATGTAGGAGTTATATATATAATCCCTTGGACTCAAATACTACAAGTCCATCCAAAGAAACTTCGAATTCCTCCCTGAAATTCCTCCCCTAAAGATATGGAAAGCTTTCTGGAGGTCTCCAGATATTAGGGACGCCTTTCTGTGAAGTCCCTATAACAGCGATGTGAACACACTGGCTGCGTTGAGGCCTCAATTCATGGAACCCCCATATGGCACCCTTGAAAACGGCATTTGTCTTCGTATGGACCTTCTTGAGCTTGCATGCTACATCTGGGGGAGGGTGAATACTAAAGTCCATGCCGTTGATCAGGGGAAAGGTTTGCCTGTGTCGACGTGTCCACCACTAAAGCACCAACAAGGCTTTTTTTGCAAAAGTTCCCTGTAGGTTCAGGCGTAGCCTGGGATGAATTCTAGCAATGCAAAGACGCCCTGAACACCATTGCAACATTGAAATGGATCTTGTGAGCACTCTAATGCTCTGTTTACAACCCCTTCACGGCCTTGCTTATATAACCCGGCTGGAGACAGCCCCAGGAACCCTTCAACAGAGTCCTTGAATCTCACGGTTCGTTGCCCACTCCTGTTCTCTCGCACATACAAATCTGCGATCGCGTTTAAAGCCTGGGACACGGGCTTTCGTCCGAGTTGTGGGCGTAAACTCTCTGAACAAAAGTCAGAAAATCCTCGAAACTACGTTCGATATGGATCGTGCAAAAAATCTCAACTTTAAGCAGTGGTTCCGGAACGTGTCACGCACACTGCTGACAAGCCGCGCACGACTTGTCGCAATCGCAAAACGTTTCTCCCGGATTTAGATTGCCGTTTCAAAGCACTTCGTGAAATCTTCAAACAGGAGTTCCAACCACATTTTCTCTAGATAGTGGACGCGTCGTTAAACCAAACCCCTAGGCTCTGGTCCCCACATTGTGAGCCCTATCCCTAATGCGCAAACCCTCTTCCCTCAACCCTAAACCGAGACTAGAGCCTGAAGCGAGGCTCAGCCAAGATCATACAGGGATGGCTTGACAATATGAAGGCGACAGCCTCTCCATTCTGGAGGTGCCGTCCAGTGCCCAAAAATTGTCGGGTGTCTTGAAGCTATGGCCTGTGAGCCCCGGGCTTCCTCACTGTACGACCCAGGCAAAGAAGACCAGCGGGACTAGCATGCGGAAAAAGCTCGGGATCACCATGCAACAAGCCTTTGCTGGCGACATCCAACTGCCTGAACGGCATCTGCCCTGCCAAATGACTCACTTCCCCATGAGCTCCTGTCTATGGGCGCTCCATGCTGTTCACTTTTCAGTTACGCAAGCACACACCCCCCAAAAAAAAGCGCTCCTTGATCTTGCCGTTCTTCAGGAGCGGCAAAGTGCCTCCCATTCCGCCGTCATTGCAGCCTGCAGCTATCCCCATTCAGGCAAACATTGCGATGCATGAGCAAAGCCTCCAATGAAGTTCTGCTTGACAAAGACCTGCCAGCTTTAACATGCGCATGCAACACCACGCGAGGCAGGGCACCATGTCAAGCAACTCTTTCAGGCCTTGGGGACGCTGGTCGAGCCACACTTGGCGCTGAGAGCACTTTGGTCAAAGTCTTCCACGACCTTCGGGGAATAGCCTGTGCAGGGCACACGGATTTCGCATGCCAATGCAAAAGGTTGCCATAGCAAGCCTGCATCACGGAGGGCTGCCAAAGCTTTCTGGCAAAATGGGCAGCTGCTGCTGGAAAAGACCACCATGTCCTGATCGCGTTTCCATCCACATGTGAACTACACAGTGGACCCCATCTGCTCAGACTGGGATTGATGGTCTTGCAGTCTTGCAGGCTGGTGGCATTGGAATTGATCACCTCATCAAGGCCAGCCGTGTTCGCAGCTGGCGACCTAGTGGTCTTTCTGGTTGGGCTTAGGATAAGGTTGGGTTTTTCTTGCAGGCACTCGCTGTTCGGTTCATGAACCAGGGTTTAGGGGCTTCCTGTGGAGGCCACGGCCATTGAGAAAGTCGGCGAGTCGAGACAGTCCTGAGAGAGAGAGGGAGAGATCCTTGTACACTTCGCAAGGGAGAGATGTCCATAATCAGACCGTACCCCATCTTCCACAAGCCCCTCCTCAACCGAAACACATTTGCCTAGCATCTCTCACAGACTGAAGAAGGCTGAAGAAAGCTTACAGAAGATCCTGCACTGCATTGTAAGGGAGGGGAGTTCCTCATGGGAAATCAGGTCTGGGAATTCATGTTACATGTCAAGAATTCAGAGCCCACTGCGTATGCAGCACGGACCGAAACAATCTGAGCTTCACTGGGCCATTGTCTCATGGCGTCCCTTAGCAACCTTCTCTAATTAACCTTCATCAAGGGCCAATCATGATTTCCAGGCACAACCAGACAGGCACATCTTGTGCCTCCGTGGCCCGTGTACTTAGACTCGGACCCTGTGATGTAATTCCGTTTGCGTCTTGGTATGGCTTTTGAAATATGATCCTTTTTGCTGGTTGATGGTTGATACTACATTCTGCTTGACCCTGGGTACCTTCCACCTTGGTCTACTAAGGTTATGCAGAACTTTTTTAGGATCAACATGAGGACCTTATGGACAGATGATACATTAGAGACTCTGGCAAGCCTTCTTATCAATACCCCAGAAGTTACAGGGCTTCGGATTTAGGGCTTCAGGGCTCAAGACCGCATCGGGGTTTGGGATAGGATGCGGGGCTTTTAGTAAGGAGTCCATGGTCCGCAGCCATGAAACCCTACACGGTTTAGGGCTTGTCCTGTTAAAGGTTCGTGCATATCCCACTATCTCCTGAGGCTCCTTAAGGGCCCCCTATCTTGGGTAAATTCCCTATGTACCTGAATCCCTACTCACTGCAGATTGCACTTACTTCTGGAACACTAAACAACACTAATTAATAGAAGCCTATAGACCCCAACTCCTACACCAGATTTGCTCAACCCTAGGCCCTAAATTGGTCCAGTTCACTCAGCAGATAGGAGCTGAATCAGCTCCGTCACCTTCGCCCTGCTCTCGTCGCGGACCTCAGACCACTGCTCTGGCAGCCGAAAAGCTCTTTCCATAGCTGTCCCAAAGGCTCCCAGCTACCTAAACAATAGGCTACTGGGCCATGTAACTATAAAGTATGTAGAACCCAGAACCCGTATTCAGGCGACCGCAGCCCTATATGGTGTATGACTGCTATTGCCTCAGGGTTGAGGGTTTAGGGGGCTTTATAAGGATTATATAGGGAATAGATAGGGATGTATAAGGCCTCCAGCTTCCGCAGATTTCCAGCAGTTTCCCCCAAACTAATGCGAAACCTCGGGAAGGACCCTTTGCAAAAGGCTAGTCTTTCTAGGGCACTTTCGGGGTTTCCATGTGAATTTGTTTAGAGGAGGGAAAGTTCTATGCTGAATACCAAGAGGCTTAGGGTCCAGACCATTGCCATTAACACACTAAAACAACGGGCATGAGGGTTTACTGATGGATTTTGCAACGGGGGGTCTTAATCCAACACTTCTCCTTCAAACCACTCTAATCATAAGCATGCTTGTAGAGGGAAAGTCGATCTTTTAGGGGAAGGTGGCGAGGGTTCTCTGGCTGTGCGTTTGGACGAACAATCCCTTAAAGTCTTTACGTGTCCCAAGCCGGAGGCATGAAAAGCCTAGCTCCTTAATTCAGCTGCTCAGGGTTTAGGGTCAAGCGGCCCGGCGGTATGCAGACAGATCTCCAGGATCAATGGCAGGAGGGTCGTCGAGATTCCTTGTCTAGGGGCAGATGTTCTCGGAAAACTCCAGGAGGCCAGTTGCCAAGGGAGGAGTACATATAAAGGAATGCGGAAATATGCAAGGTGTAGATAAAGCCATGTAGATCCCTTTCTGGGAACTCGGCTCCTGTAGCCGTTGCCTTAGATACATGCTGTTTCCTAGGGATGCCCAGGAAATATTTATGTTAGGGCCGCCAAGAAGTTTCTACACGGGCTGCTTTGAAACTCCCATGCACTGGCTCTACCAGGCTACAGCTAGAAGGCCTACGGAATTGTGCAAAGATTCATACACGAAGTCCCAGGACTACGTATACTAAGCGACCAAAGTGACCCTGTGTTCACCCGTAATGGTCACTTGGTAAGCTTAATATTGACAATATCTCATAGGTGACCTCAGGCAGCCGCACAGAGGGCTTCTGGGCTTTTGAGATGTCTGTTAGAACTGTTTAGGGCTTGGGTTTAGGCGCAGCTTTTCTTTCTGTAGCCCGACGGCAAACCCCAGTAGAAGTAGTAGGACTCTAAACCCCAAACCTTGCCAAGGTAGTTTCTGAACGCGAGAGTCTCCCATAAAGGCATACATACCCTCGAACATTGGATTCCTGTGCCTGAAGCCCAGAGGCTAAACAGCGTGGCTCATATGTACCTTTTTGGGGGTGGCATGCTATAGTCTCTTGCTAGCAAAACCAAAACAAACCCACACACAAACTACACAAGTGGACGTGGGAAGGTGCAATGTGGTTGCACATTATTTGTGGCAATCTACCGGCAAGTTGGGATATGCATAACAAGTTGCCGAGCATATCTTATGCAATCAGCTACTGTAGGGGCCTAGACAATTACCGATATCATCTTCAAGTCTACCTGAGGCACCATCTTCTATAGTTGCATAAGTCATCCACCACCGTAAAATGGTGATCATCCAGGCCCTACATTGCCTCAAGCAATGGGAAACTGAAAGTCAAGGCTCCAGTCGGCAAAGTAAGGGCGCTTCTTCCAAGCCTCCTCCAGACCAAAATTGCTCTGTGCTAGGAGGTTCGCAGGTAATAATGATTGGGATGAGTAGCCCCCAAAATATGGTTACAACTGCTGGTCAACAGCGGACAGCTGACTCTTTTAGCACAAGGCACACCAAACGGGGTAAAGACGCTTCTAACTGAAACTAAAATTGTACAATGCATCTACGTTACATATACAACCTACTCTATTGGAGGTATTGAGAACCTAAATAACTGATGCGCTTAAAAATCCTCCTGAGTTACGAATGTGCTGCGGGCACACTACATGTGTGGTGAGCTTGCGCACAAGCACTCCCCCCGCTCTGGTAAGAGCGCCAGTGGGGTTGCAACAGGAAAGTCCCGCCAGGACTGCACATGCGTTACACTACCCATAAGTAGGTAGGCACCTGCGGACCCCTTTGTCTAAACCAAGAACCCAAAGTACCATTTCATCCTAAATCCTAAACCCAAATAATCCCCATATCATATATTCCCTGCTTCCCCAGCATTATCGTGTATACTTGTACCTACCCATTAGCCTTCAATGAGGAGACGGTCCCGTTGACGAAGCCAGCACCCCTGCAGCCGCCTGTGCCTCAACGTTCCTAATACAAAGGGCTAGAGCAAAGGGTTCTGGCTGACTCTACTATTTCCAACAAATCTGAAAGTCACCCACTTGGCATTCTCTTTCTGTATACACCACTGTTTGGGGTGAGGTCGGCTATATTTTGCCTTGTACCTAAGAAGCAGGGGCAAGTTCTAGGGTGCAGATTCAAGCTGCAACAATGGTTCAAGCTGCAGCAGTTGGGGTTTGTGTAGGAAATGCTTTGAGCAACAATGTCTCTAGTAAAAATCGGCTTTGCGCAAAGAGTTTTGGTGCTTTTCACCTTTGTGTCTAAGGATGCTCCACGTGCAGCTTAGTAGTCTGAAGGCATTATTTCAAGGGCAGGGCCACCCGAAGCTCTAAACCGTGTAGGCGTATGGAAGCCCCCAAAGTTATTCGAATAATGGTAATAACAGTCATAGCTATCCCAATATAACCCCAATATACTGTAGTAGCTTCCGTTTTATATTCCATTATCCCACTAATACTAGGTACCCTGGCCCGGAAACACCGCTGTTAGAGTCCTTGTCACCGTCCAGCTTACTCCCGCAGCCGCAGCAAGAGATCACGGCCTGCAGGTAATTTGACGTTATAGCCACAATAACCCCCACACTTGAGTAGAATTTACACCCCCGAGTTGTACGCATAATTCATAAAACTGCAAGTAGTTGGGATTACAGGTAGGGCCTCGGGTAAAGGGTTAGGATTTTGGTTGAGGTTTACATTGTCCAGGCAGCACAGCCGTAAACACTCTCAGGCGAATCCTACCTGTAGCTCCATTCTAGTGACTAATGGGCTGCGCTGGGCTTATGTGCAATTCCTTTGTGGGTGGGATTTTGAAAAACCCTTACCCAGAATCAAAAACTCCAAAACGACCTACAGCGCAACCTCTGGGTATATCTACTTATCGCTACGCATGGAGCAGTATACCCGAGCTTGGAAAAAGAGCAGACTCACAACATGCTCGGGTTCTTGTTCGCGGTGTTGTTGGGGTTTTGCACCTCTTGCTTGGTCTTCGCGTATTCGGGGCCCCGCAGAAGTTTCACGTTGCTTTTACGGCAAATTCCTTGCTGTTTCAGGCATTTTGCACACTATGCATAACGAGGTGGTTCTAGAGCAGAAGGGGTGGTTCGCTTTCAAAACGAAGTTACTTGGGCACCACCTCAAAAAGGAGCACAAATGAGTTTAGGATACAGGTTGCAATACTTTGGCAAGGTAGGATCCTTGACATGAGCTGGTAATGAGGGGAAAAACCGAAATCCCCTGGCAGAAAAACCCGAAGACAAAACGAGGTCCCGTTGATCCCCCTGGAACCCATATGTTTAACCAAGGGAGGATCCCCGTACGTACAGTTCAGGGTTGAGCGTGTAAAATCCAAGCCCTAAAGTGAAACCCTCAGAAGTTCTACACCTTTAAGCCTGAAGCTACAGCTTCTGAAAATCCACAGAGCTCTAAAACCCTGAGCCCCGAAGCCTGACTCCCTAGACCCTGACAAAAAAAGCCCGAAAACCTGGGCCCTAACTACGAAAAAACGAAGAGCAAGCTGAGCAATTTGTGCGCCTGAAAGTGCTCCGGATTAAAATCCTCATGACTGTGGGATTCGCTTTTCGAGCGCTTTACAGGGTTTAGGGTTTAGAGTGGGTACAGGTTTTAGGACTTGTGTTTTTTTTGTCTTGTAAAGGTTTGCGTAAACCCAATTACTGAGCTTTGTGGGCATGGAGTTTTGCAGTTTCAGGTTTTAGTGGTCAAATGTAAGTTGAATGATCCCTTTTCTGCGAGGTCCTTCAGGCAAGCACGGGGCAGGCGGTCTGTTTTAAGACTACCTAAATTGGGAACACAACAGAAACACTTTCCTTCAGGAGGCTATAGGCTATCGCCCTCAGGTTGGTACTACGCAAGCAGTGCCCGGACTAACAATCAAGAATTCCAACATCTGAAGTAAGGCCCTTTTACGCACATTTTCTGTATGAACCGTTATTGGAGTGAGGTAGCTATGATTGGCCCAGATGACATGTACTCCAAAAAGTTTCCAAGACAGGTGTAGTGGTGCACAGGTGTCTAGAATATAGCTTTGGGTCAGACTTCTGTTGCGAAGTCTTTGCGAGAGCGAACGTCCACGATGTTGAAGGACCGCTGCTTTGCAACTACATGTTCCAGACATGCCGGGCTGGACCCTTGTCTATGCCGTTTAGGACTGTCCTGGGCTTTGCGGCGGTAGGTTTGGGCTTTGGGGGCTGGAAGGTTTGCGGTCTTACTTTGTAGGTCCAAGGGCCTTTGGGTAGTCAACTGCTTCAGGAGGAGTCCAGAACTCTGGAGAGAGAATCCATTAAATCCGCCCAACAAACGTGAATCCCACATAAGCTCGTTTCACAACGACAAATTTATGCAGAGCCCCTGCTGGGGTTTCCATGCTTGTTTTTTGCGAGGTGCAAGTCCCTCAGCCCCAAGCCGCATTTGCATGACCCTAACCTCTATGCACGCTTTAGGGTACAGAGTTTAGGGAATAAGGTGTTAAGTTTTTGGTGTAGGGTTCAGCCACCATCCCAGGCAACTGCTAGCTTGAAATGTGGCGTTGACTGCCGAGAGTCTGCCATGGCATCAGAAGAGAAGGACGAGATGTCAACCTTGGTGGATTTACTGGGTTGGGTCTGGGATTTAGGGTCTAGGGCTGTTCAGAAACCTGAATCAAGTTGCCAGGATATGCGTGCATGGTTAAGAAACAAGTTTCCTCGTAATGGAAACTTCATCCTTATAACAGCAACATAGCTTCGTTTTGCCCACCTTCAAACTGCCACGAAACGCCATATCGTCATTTTCAAAAGTTAGGACCCCCGTTGTGGGCCGGACCTAGAATAATGGGTGTGGTATATGGGGCCCAATTTTGCAACTCTTACAGCACCCCGCTTGAAGGAACGGTGAACTTTATTGGGCACTTTCCTTAGTGGTGCTTAAGAGGGTGTGGGGGAGTGAATGCTAAAAGGATTACCCCAATCCCCCGGACAATTACCGCCCGTACCCGTAACAATAAACTTGCTCCCTTGGCGTTTATATTGGGTATGTGATCAATTAGGGGCAGGTGGGGGGAAGGCGGTATTAGAAAGAGGCGAACCGTAGAAGGATCCAATCTCCCAGTAACCATTCAGTTTTTTGGATTCAAACCTTGCAGGTCTCAGGGGCTCAGGGCTTGCGGATCAGGATCCAGGGTTTAGGCTTTACCTTAAGAGTGCAAAGCTCCAGATACCTAGGTTCAGGTGTGCCATATAATTTTCTGGCTGCAGCTGTCTGGCTCCAGCGGCCAGAAAGAAAGTCACATGATAAGATCGCTGTGCCCCTTATAGGAGCTCTAAAATCCCCAGATAGCCCCTACTCAGCCCAGATGCTGTCCCCCACAGAATCACAATTTCCTTCCATCTTGTCTCTTTGATCAGATGTAGAGGCCTGAGACATCAGAAGTATTATCACTGGACAATCTTCAGAAGACTACAACTGTACACCCCCCCAAAGAATCTGGGGCTCTTGGACCCATTCGTGGAAGTATAACCTCACCCCTCAATTCAACACATACCCCACCAGGCTGAGGACAACAACTCAGATCCGCAGGAACAACCCTCAGCACTTTTGGGGTTTAGGGTTTACGGATGTATGTTTTGGGAAGGGCAACCCTAAACTTGATTCAGACTACTCTATTCTCTAAAGCTTGAGACCCAAACCATGTGATCCCTAGATTGCTTACTTCTGCTTGAGGGAGAGTGAGGGAGTACACTCCTAGAAAAATGCGTATGAAGCCCTATAAACGACCCCTATCAAACCCCAGTTTCCATTTATTTGCATTACCTTGTGCACTTCATTCTCCATTGTTGGGGTGCTGCCCTTCTGTCCATGTGTAGCCCTTTCCGGGGAGCTAGCGCTCCTATGTTATTCTGCATGTTCTCTTCCACTTGCTTCTCCACTGATATTGATCCCTAATCCCTAAGCCTAAGCCTTCTATGCTTCTGTATAGCGCCCTACAACCTCCTTTCTGAGGACCTCTAGCTGAAAATGTTGAGGTGCCCCCGCTTCTTTCATGACGGTGATGGCGCCCTCCTTCCTTAGTTGAGCTCAGGTGCAGGCATCAGTGCGTTCTAGCTTCAAGCCTTTACGATTTGGGACTTAAATAGGTGTATTGTTTTTTCTTCCGAAGCTTCTGCTTGAGGTTGGGGTTGGGCGCGTTCAGGGCTTAGGGGAAATCACGAACAAGAAAGAAGGCCCTGTTGACGTCAGTAGCCATGAAAGCCACAGTTTTTGGTATGAGATCAGGCGAGTCAACATCATCTGCCCAGCGGTGCTTTTCAGAGGGCTCGATGTGTAGACTCCCTTCGAACACTAAGCAACGAGTTTCTGGACATTGCGGAGCAGATCTCGCCACTTCCATGTAGCATTCAGACTCGATTTGAGAACAAAGCTCCGTAGCCCAGATGTTGCTGGTGTAGCTTTACGCAACCGCTACAACCCCAGACGTGGTGATAAGAGTTAGGTAGGGATGTATACGGATATGTCAGAGTCCTGACTGATGGTGAAGTTTCTGAAATCAGGGCCAGGCCCCCCCGGAGATGTTCAAAAAGACAGGCCAAGGTCTCGCATGTTCAATTTTAAAAGTGGCTTCATCTCTCATATACAAATAAACCCTGAAGCTTAGGTAAGCTTACATACCTGGCCACAAAAAAAAACACAGGAAGCACTCACCTGTAGCCCCCTCAAATACCTATGCCATATACCCGCTAGATCACTAAACCTAAGCTCTGAAACCATCTCTCTGGCTTCTGAAATCCTACATGTCCCTCTAAGTCCTGGACCCCTAATCCGCTAAAAATCCTAAACTCCGAACCCGAAACCTCAAAGAAAAATTGGAACATCCCAAGAGTCACCGCCGTGCCCCCCACAATGCCCGCGGAAGCCACGCCCACCGAGGCCGAACCGCGCAAGGCGCGGAGCCAGCCGTCCTGACATGAGAAAGGTTGACAGTCCAGGTTAGGGCTTACAAGAGGTAATGTAACCCTAAGCCCCCTCTAAAGGAGCTTACAGGGACTTGTATAGTAGGGTTCAGGGTATGTGGGGGACCCACCTGGAGGTTCAGGGTACCTAGCCCAAATATTACATTCCAAAGCAATCCGACTAGGGGACTTATAAAGGCCTTCTGATTGAGTTCTAAGTACATTTATGATGGGGGATACTTGCCAGCTCTCCAATTCGGGTTGTGAAGGGCAAGCTCAGGTCACCTCAGGGCCCGTACTTTGCAGGACCTGTGGGGTTCCCAACGAGACGGGAGGGTTACAGGAATCTTCTCCTTCCTAACCAAATAGATTTGTTGGGTGCTCCTGTAGAGCCCTCACCGATCCGCACGGCTCGGAAAGACCTGAAGCAACCAGCCCAAACAGCTCGATAGACGAGAGGCGGCCATTTGCGATCTGCAGGAGTTGTGGTTGCACAGGAACATCACCTGAGGGGGTGCCCTAGCCGTATGGCATTTGAGGCTCGAAATAAATTACACAGACAGAAGCCCCTGTAAAAGGATAAGCTGATATGAAGCCACAAGTTGGTAGAGCTTCCTCTTGGCAAAATGAGGAACCAGTCTTACCCCATGTAGGGGAAACAGTCCCATGGATTTGCGGTCAGACACAGATGGAAGACATGGTGGCGAGCGGCACATGCATCCATCATCTGCAGACACCATACTAAACTGTGTACACACACACACACTTTCTCTCTCTCTCTCTCTCTCTCTATAATATATATATATAATAAATACGCCCTCCTATGCAAAAAGATTCCTGCGTTGTAGGCCGTATAAGTCTATACAGGGACTTAGGCGCAGGAACGCATCATATGGGCAACTGGGGCTGCTAACGCATGCATAGACAGATAGATAAATAGGTAGATCGAGCGAGAGAGACTTTACAAACACTGTGAATCCCAGCCCAATCTCTGTCCCGCAAACCAGCCGAGTCACGTTCTTCTTGTAGTGAGGGCCATACCTGAGGTCATCGGTTATCCTACCTTTCTCACATCCCAGAGCGCTTGAGCGCTTCGTTACCAAATGCAAGATTGTAACGATGTCTTTACCGTTATGGCACTAGCATTACGACTCCTAAGGTGAATGGCAGCAAAGGAATCCATTCAAACAGAAGAAGAAACACTGTTGCTTGAATAAAGATGATGCAGCGCAGTGGTGGCAACAACAACATCAGCGGCAGCCACAGGAGTAAGAGGAAGGAGGCAGAATGCTGCCATATAGACGGCTAGGCTTGGAAACAGGAAGTAGAACAAAGGTGCAACAGTATTCAGTACAGCACGCCAACCCAAAAAGCTTAACAAATGGCAAGAAAGGTCATGGGCATGGACTAAAATGACCCTAGCACAGAAGCCCACAAAGGAATAATATACGGAATCCGTATGCACCCTAAGCCCGCAACCGCGTGAAATGCATTCCTGACCAAGACCAACTGAAAGGCAATCCGCAATTCGTGTGTCTCTGATAACTTGTGACCATCAAGACCATCGATACGTCTGGGTGTGTCTGTTAGGCTGCGGGGTTCAGGGTTTGGGGTTGAGGGTTTGGAGTTGATTAGAATTAGGGTTCTGCCCTAAACAGCTGCACTGTTAAAGTGAGCCTGCTGAAGCGTCTATGGGGAATCTGCGGAAGAAAGCTCAGTGCCTTAACCTGCGCTTGTACCAAAATTTCGAACCTTCGACCAGCAACTGACCAAAAGGACAGTACTCTGCCACATTCAAAAACACACATGAAGGACACATAGAGACTACTGTGCGTTTAGATGAGACTGTACATGGGGTTCCATGTTGTTAGTTGGGGAGGACGAAGCACAAGAGCAATTACACCCAAGAGCCCAGGAACGTTTTCTGCACCATGTCCAGAAGTTCTTGAACTTTGGCTTTGCCTCAGACGACTTCAGGTTCAGGCAGAAAATGCAGGGTGTTGCTTCCTGACGTTCTGAACCATGTGCCCGGAGACTACGCAAATCTCCACAAAGTTCAGGCTTCGTGCTCAGGGGGGTTGTGCAAACCCTAAACACTGCACCTGGCACCACAATAACCTTACAGCCGCTAAATTCAAGCTGAACTATGAGCTGTAATCCCCCAATTTCAAAGACACCGCACCCTTGGCAAAGCCAGATCGCACAACAAAGGGTTGATTTCTCCGACTTTGCCCTAAAGAAGGATGCCAAGCTTTCGCTTAAGGGTCTAAGGTTCAGGGTTGGGGCTTAGAGGCTTCAGGATGCGGGTTCTAGGGTTTGAGGGTTTGGCGTCTTATGGGAAAGGGTTAGGATGCAGAGAGCTCAGGTCCGTCAGACGAAAGCACCCTGCAGCAAAACAACGGAGTTGACCGCATGAGCGCCATACCGTCTTAGGTGTACACTACCAAGCAATTGCCAAGAAGTCCTATGCGCCGCCCCCTTTCCACGAATAACAAACGCCTTGGACAATGAGTGCTCCACATACAATACCATTAAACAAGTAAGGATCCTTTGGGATAGGTCCCCAGCCGCTAATAGTTCCTGCAGGGAATAATGGCAATCACATCAGGATCCCCATGTATTCCAATTAGACCACTACTAGGTTGACGTCTTCAAAGGTTGGAACTATGGGCCCCTAGTAGGAGTCCCTGATCTTGGTTCTACTTACCCGCTATGTACATACATTATGAAGCCCTAACAAAACCATCAGGGACCAACACCTAGGACCCAGGAAACAGGTAGGGGCCCGTATTTGCCATTAGAGGTCAATGGTTAGGAGGCTTCATGAACAAGATCACTCTCCGTGCTTTTGTAGTGTGGACACCTCAAACATCGGACTCAAGGGGCTTTGGGTCATAGTATACTGGTTAAGTTCTAAAGGTTGAGGGCTCAGGGTACTTTCTAAACGTGCAAGTTTTGGGGCTTAAAAGGTTTGGTACGCCAGGTTGAAGGGGCGTTGTACATTTTCAGATGTAGCCCCGCACTTGGCAGCGTACTTGCAACCACCTGTTGGCCTCCGAGCCCGCTTCCGATAATCGCTACATGGATATAGCCACTCTAGAAGAACCCCTGCACGCATCTATTGATGCACGCACATGGATTTCTCAAAGCTGCGGGCCCCTGGGCATACAATATCTAATCTCAGGGTTTAAGCCAGTGCCCAAAGACCCTGCACTGCACATTGAAGCTACACCCCCAACACCCAAGACCTAAATCCAGCAAATCTGCTGGCCAGCGGCTTTCATCGCGCACACGCTTGTACGCGGAGAAGTCACCAGGGTCGATCGCGGGCGGGTCATCCAAGTTCCAGTCCTTGCTGGTATGATTGCTTGGAGAGGAGGTTAGTTATACCTACCTCGTAATTGAATCTACAGTACAATTATAGCCACATGTGTGAGACGTGTGGGATTTGTAATTAAGACATGTACATGTAGGTTATAAAGAATCGTACATGTAGGTTATAAAGAATCCAAGCAGCACCACAAAGTGGGGGTTTAGGGTTTTAGGATGGCTGGGCTTGCCCTCAGAGGCATGAATCCAGAGACCACCCGGATGGGTGAGTGTTTGCCTCTTGCACAGACTTGCTTCCTGAGGAAGCTTCTTTGCTAGATTGAGTCGCGAGAATGCAATGAAGCCATGCTGGGACGCAGCTCTAGATGAGTAATTCCCAGAATCAGGGTCCCGTTTTAGCCTATATGAGGCAACCACCACTTGCGCTGAGGTCGGGTGACGTCATAATAACAAGTTGCACCAGGAATCTTACAGGTGCTAAAGCTATCTACAGCTGGGTGGCTATTAGGTCTTCTGTCTTCATAAACCTCTCACAAGGATTTCCACACGCTCTAGGGTTTCGGGTTTACCAGGTACTTCCGTAGGCCTGGCGCTTTTTCAGTATAGCAGACCACAGGAGACTACACATCTGTAAAGTACCCTCAATTACCTTAACGTTTAACCCTCTTAGCTACTTGCAGCATAGAGCTGACACCAGGCCTCCCATCCCCTCGCTTAACCATAGTGTCAATGCCTAAGTTAGTTTAGGGTCCTGGCTTATAACGGTTTTGGGACTAGCGCTCTCAGTTTTGTTAGGTCCATCAAGAACAAGGTCGGTCTAGAACCCGGTGTTGAACAAAGGGATTTTGATTGCCCCAACCCCCGACCTCACCTCAAAACTGGGATCCCAAGGCTGTCCTATCTGATGATTGAGAAATTACTCGAACTCGAAACTGCTTTGACAAGCTACCCGACATGTTCTCGGTCACTGCAGTGCAGCCGAGGCACCATGAACACAGGGCGCTTCTTCCACACCTTCCCGATGAGGGCGATTTTCTTCTAGATGCGGGGTGAATTGTTGTTGTTGTTGGTATAAAGTTTATCAGAACCTGATTGGGCATGGTATTTGCCTATACATAATAGCAGTTAGGGGCTGAGTTTGCGATGTCTGAGGTAATTGGCCCAGAAATAGACAGTTGTTTGCAAAGCTCCAAACACTACCTGCAGCGGGATGTGAGAATAAGAGGCTGCCACCCTCAACACCGGAGCCCTAGAACACAAAGCTCTCCTGAACCCTAAACCCTAGACCCAACCGCCTGAGCCGTAAATCCATAAAAGCCACCTGACAAACCCAAGCCCTGAAATCCTTACCCTCCCCACACCAGCATGCATAGCCCCATCAACAGAAGTAGTCTTTGTAGGAGCATGACCTGCTTCCATGTTTGGGCTGGCTGGTGAGTCCCCTGCTCAAAGGATGCTTTTAGTTCCAAGGGCTGAAGCGAAAAACAAAGGATCCCAAAGTATCTGTGGGGCTTACATACTAGTAGCTGGCAATCTGGTTTGGGTGAGTATGCCCTCTACACGTGCTTGGGATCCTTTGGAAGCTGAAGCCCCCACTCGCCTCTTTATCTCCGTCGAGTTTGCTTCCACAGCCGCAGCAGGAGATCACAACGTCGAAGTCCTCGGGCTTGAAGTCCTGGGCACACGGTTTGAAGTTTCAGATTGCAAGTTTGAGGGGTTGTAATTTGTAAAGTTTCAAAAGAGGGAACCATGGGCACTAACTGGGGATTCTTGGTACATCCATACCCTACAAACATATCTACTGGCCTCTACTGCGGACCCAGAAGCAGGTTGGGGGCTTGGACTCACAGCCAAGGGTTACAATCCGCGAGGGTTGAGGTTGGGTGTGTAGAGGCCTAGGTGTTTGAGGTGTAATGGTCCGGGCGAGTGTTACTGTTGGGTTTTAGGGGCTGGTACTTGCTTCGGAGTTCCAGTTCCATCCGAAGTTCAATGTCCCATTGAGCAGGGGATTGCTTCAGGCACTTCTCTGCGATGGGTCCCCTATGTATACTTGGAAGCATGCACAAGAGGCATGCGGGCATGGGAAAGCGGCTCCTACATATCCCTAAGAAAGACTCCCACACAAACTTCGTTGTCCTCATACAGTTCCAGGGCCGCCGAAGGCTGCACCCTTTGAGAGAACCACATCCCACGTGTACACATGAACACATAAACCTTGGGAGCTGCTTTCTGTCTTTAGCACAGCATCCGCCATTGCGTCGGAAGTAAAGGATGAGATGTCCACCCCAGCATCCTTCATGACCTTGATGGCGCCCTCCTTCCTCAGAGTTGGCCATTGTAGTGAAGGGCTTAGGGTTGAGAGGCAGCACCGTTGCCAACAAGCAGGATCTAGGCTAGGACCGCAGCAAATCATAAAGGTACAGTGATATGCAGCCCCTGTGTCTATATACTTTCTATGTATAATGTCTTTCTTGGGGCTGCCACGGGTTCCTATGATTCCTACACGCTTTGGGTGTAGCCCAAAGACTCCACTTCCAAGAAACGGCATCTCTCAAAGAAAGGAGAGCCCATGGCTGGGGCACTTTGTGTGGGGTTTTCAGCGTTCGGACTTGCCTAAGAATAGTGAGCGTGACGTGACTGGCAACAGATAGAACACGTGAGTGTAATCAAGCTCCTTGCATACAATTGGCAATGCTAGAAAACGCATTGACTTTACTTCAGACTCTCACTGCAGTCAAGCAAATAGGCTGCCTCTGCGCATTTCTACTGACCCCAGATGGCTGTGGCGTAGTGGAGGGAAGGTTCATTCTGAATTTTCCTACCACCACCCCGTGTTAACCTCCCCAAGTTACCCCTGAATTAGGCTTGCTTAGGGCTCATTCGGGCTAACGAAGGGAACTTTAGTGTAGGGGGAGTGTTTAGGAGAACCCATGAGAAGGGTTTTCTGGAGAGGCATAGGATGGGCCCATGCACCCAGGCAAAGCTGAATCACATAAACTGCCAATCCCCAAACCCCACACCCCCTTTACACTCAGAACCTTGGCCCGGACCTCCGCAACCATGGACATTCAAACCCTCCCAGCAACATCAACTGTAGTTGATATAGCTTCTACTTTGCGCCCAGAGTAATTTCTATCTGTGTACCTTCTGGCTCAAAGGTACACGGGGTGACAACAACTGCATTTGGAACCTCAACAGCCCTTGCAAATCATGCCTGGCGTTTTGGAATCAAATCAAAATCTCTCCTGCTCCTCCTTTTCCATCTCCTACTCTTACTCTTCCTCCTGGTCCGAAAAGTAATACTAAGTACTAATCCTGCTACTCCCCTATAGAGATTGGTCTACCTCGAACTCTGGGGTGGGGATACGATAACAACGCTTACAATGCAGGTACCTGGACGCTTGCGGATCAGCAATTCAAGCAATTCAGATTCGGAACCCCCAAACCTTCAAAACCAAAAAGCTGGAAACACTGAATTTCAATCCTGCAGTCCAATCCCCTCAAACCCTAGCCCCTACCCCGCCACAAACAGATCCCAAGTGTCACCGCGGTGCCACCCACAATGCCGGCGGAGGCCACGCCGACAGAAGCAGAGCCACGAAGCTCCCGGAGCCACCCGTCCTGATATGAATATACTATAATATAATATAATATACCATAATATACCATAATACACTATAACATACTATACCATACTATAACATACTGAAACATACTATAATCTACTATCAGAAACTATAACATACTACAATATACCATACTATAACGTACTATAATATACTATAAATAGACTGTAATATACTATAAATAGACTGTAATATACTATAAATAGACTGTAATATACTATAATATACTATAATACAGGTCTGGGATTTAATTTTAGGGCTTAAGGTTTGGGATTTGGGAGTTTCAGGTGTATAGGACCTCAATATAACAAACTGGAAAATGCCATGGCGGCCGGAGTTCTCCGGTGGTTCACAGGGATGATAGGGAGTAGGACTTTTATTCTGGTTTTTGGTAAGTGTATTTCACGAGGTTTCCCAGGAATATTGGCGGGTGAAAATTTGGGGACCTACGTAAATTGGAATCCTAAAAAAACTTGCGGGGAAATTTTGGATCCTTAAAACCCGGACGTAAGGATACTGTAGGGGCCTATTATTAATTCAATAACGGTGTAGCGCTTTCGAGGTTTGGGTTTAGGGTTTTCGGATTGGGGGGTCTTAGGGCTTGGGTTTAGGGATTCGGCGTTAGGTTTCAGGGTTTAGAGGTCAGAGCAATGTGCAAGGATTAGGGGTTCTTCTTTCACGAGTGTAGCGTTTACGGGGATATCTAGGAGCTGTATGGGGTTCATTGGAACATTGAAGAGAAAGCTTAGACTTTAAGTTTGAGGGCTTGGGTCTTCGGGAAGTGCTCAGGTGCTTTCGGCGACAGTGTGAGTTTGCTGAACCCGGCATCGCTGATCATTTACGGATATTTCCAAGAAGATGACTGCAAGAAGATGACTGGAGGCCCGAGTCGTAAGCCTGAATAATCCTTAACCGCACAACCACCTACCATGACCCCTAAACTGGCCTGAACCTCAACCTTGCGCAGTCTTGAGGCCGAAATGCTTCATTTCAGACCCAAGGTCCGGGATTGAGCCGCACGGCTTAGGGTGTGTGTATGTGGCTTTCAGGGTTCAGGAGGCTTGAAGGCTTTGGGATGTTGTAGAGATCGAAGACAGACTGCGAATATCAGATAAGGTCAAATTTGGCAAGGAAGGGGTATTGGGCTATTGGGCTCCCTGGATGTGTAAGGAGCGCAAGTTGCTGTATGGGGTGTGGCACCGTCCTCTCATGAGCACCTTTAAAATGAAATAACCAAACTGTCAATCAATGCCATATCCACCAAACACAAAACCATAGAAACCATAGCAGATGTAGGGGCGTAGAAGCTTTGAACCCATGTTTTGGAGCATATACTTCGCTACTTAGATAGAACGACTAGATAGAGATAATCTTCGTGGTTCTTCATCCTTCTAGAGTAACCTGGCTTTCCCGGAAACAGGCCAGCAAACTGAGGGGGGGAGTTGCTGAGGGGGGGAGTTGTATAGAGGAGGTGGTTAAAGGAACCTATGATGTTTTGTTCGTCGGGCGAGCGTCTGCCATCTGAGATCGGCAAGAGTTGTGGTTGCACAGGAACATCACGTTCTTCTTGTAGTGGGGACCATACCTCATCAGTCAAGGTAAGGTGCATGTATTGAACATCCTCTGTATCGCCCTTTTTGGGTACTGGACCTGCATGGCGACATATTAATACTTGCTTCAAAGGCCCAAGCCCTTCCCCGAAAAGCGCAGGACGGTCCTCGGGCATGGACTCAAAACTAAATAGGCCCCAAACCCTAGAATCAAGATAAACCCACAAATTCGTATAGAAAATTATAAGCCTTATAAGCTCTTAGACGCCTCTATTCACCATGATAACCACTGTAAGACCTTATGGATCCCCAGTATACATATAGTAGTTTCCGTGAATTGGGGGGCCCCAATATCGACCCCAAACCATTAGAATACTTGCTATGGAGACCCCACAAGGGGAACCCCGCTCCGCCCTACATACCGGGTGCTGGGTGGACCCCAATATAGACCCCCAAACAATTGTTTCCTTACTATGGGGACACCACAAACGGAGAACCAGCACCCAAATACACAAACCCAAAACCTTTAAACCCTAAACCCAAATACACAAACCCAAAACCCAAATACACAAACCCTAAACCCTTAAACCCTAAACCCTAACCCCCCCCCAACCACATACAGGTTTCTAAGACAAGGTGCGGCTTACTCAGCATGTCCAGGAGTTCCTGTACCTGCAGCAACGTGGTGAGCGGAGGACATCGCTTGGGAACCCGAATATACTATAGGCTACAAGGTTTTGAGCTTAGGGCCCCAATTTATTCAAGTTCTCCGCGTATAGGGTGTTTCAAATGCTGCAAGCTTTCTTCCATCCCCGGCATGGGCCATGTGTTCCCTTGGATGCTTTGAAACTGTGTACGGAGGATACGCAAACTCCTGAGATTCAAACTAGTTCAGGGTGGGTTAGGTTTTAGGAAGGTGGTGCCAGATTCCCACCATCAACAGCATGTAATACTGCTTTATGGGTGGGTATGTGCTGACCACTACCATCCCCCACAGTCTAGGGATCCTGATGAGACATGAAGTGATCCCGAAATAGATGACAACATGACCTGCACCTTTTTTCAGGGCCTTCTGTATCTCTGTTACACGTGGAGTGTCGGGAAAAACGGTACAGCGTTCAGATGTTGGCAAGCTTGAGCACTACCCTAGGTCAAGGTAGATTGTGGATCATGGCCGAGGCTCCTGGACTATAACTCATTTGGTCTGTGGTTTAGACTTTAGGGTTTAGGGCTTCTTTTGTTTAGGGTTTGGAGTTTAGGGCATGAAGGAATTCCTCGGAAGTTCTGAAGGCCGTGGCTTCGGGCTTCCGATCTTTAGCCACGGATCTCGCGGTCTTGTCTACGGTTTAGGGTACTCCCCAAAGAATGGAGAATCAAATGGACAATGACATGTATAACATTGATCGAGGTCTGTTTGAGGCAGTCTATACCATGCTCGTACAAGGAATCTAGCACAATGACATTGGCTGTCACTTCGGCTTCTGCATAATCAGGTTTATGGTTAAGGCGGCAAGCAGTCAATCGCATCTCAGATGCGACTGGGAGACCTTACTCTCGCATGGATTGTAATCAACAACCTCTTCGCTGAGCTCTACAGGGTCTGATGGTTCACAGCCGCCCGGCCAACATTAAAAGCATGTCGATTTCAGCAGACTCTTAGAAGATTCCTCAAATGCTGTTCTGCATGTCATCCTTGGTAGTGCCATCACAGCAGCAAGCATCTATATGTGTAAATATAGATATGTGTATCTATCTCTATATATATATATATACCAAGAAATACATGAGGCATGACTTCTCGGAGAAACCCCCATATAGACCTAAACTCAAAACCAAACCGGCTAATCACACCCGAAGCCCCTTTAACCCTAAGCCCTCACAAGCGCCCGCCTTCACCTTGCACTCGTCCCGGACTCGCTTGTACCTTGTGGAAGCTGCAGGCTTTACCCACACCCTCCAATGTTTTCTGAAGGTCCTACTAAGAATCCCAAACCCTACACCTGTTGGTACGGTCATAATAATCCCCAAACGGCACCATATTAGAGGTGTTTACGTGATAGAATTTTGGAACTATGAGTTGCCTAACTTAGGATCTTTAGATGTCAAAATGGCAGGCCCTTGAGCACATGGGGATTGCCCTTGGTTAGTTTTAGAATTTACACGAAGCACTGCAAAAAAAAAACATCCCACTTTCCTTGTTATGCATGCTGCTCAACCCTACAAGTTCAACTAGAACCGCGCTAGGACCAAGAAAACAGCCAGGGGCCATAGAGGAAGCACAGGGTTAGGGCCCGGGGATGCTGGGTGATGAATTACTGGTGCTTCAGCAAGATTGCGGAGGGATGCGGAGAGACTATAGGTTCTGGAAAAGTCAGATAGAAAGCACTACAGTACTCAGGCATTTGGTTTAGGGTCAAGTTGGGGCAGGAAATGCTGGGGTGTGTCTTCGGGGGCACTGAAAGACTGCTATAATGACGGAGCTCAAGGTTTCTGTTTGAAGTGTAGAAGCCCGAACTCATAACTCATAATGGCAGGACTATCCCATTATACTCCTTGGTGAGCTTCGTTTCATTCATCCATTCATTCATTCACTCATTTATTACTTCATTTCATTCCATTCCATTCCATTCCACTCGTTCATTCATTCATTTCATTTCATTTCATTCCATTCATTCAATCATTCATTCATACGTTCATTCGTTCATTCATTCGTTCATTTTCATGTCATTCGTTTCATTCATTTCTCTCATTTCATTCACTTCACGCATTCATTCATCCATTTCATTCATTCATTGATTCGTTCATTGATGCATTCATTTCATTCAAGTCATTCATTCATTCATTCATTCATTCATTTCGTTTCATTTCATTGCATTCATTCAATCATTCATTCATACGTTCATTCGTTCATTCATTCGTTCATTTTCATGTCATTCGTTTCATTCATTTCTCTCATTTCATTCACTTCAACCATTCATTCATCCATTTCATTCATTCATTGATTCGTTCATTGATGCATTCATTTCATTCAAGTCATTAATTCATTCATTCATTCATTCATTCATTCATTCATTCATTCATTCCGTTTCATTTCATTTCATTTCATTCATTCATTCATTCATTCATTCCTTCATTCATTCATTCATGCATTCATGCATTCAGCCAGTCATTCATTTCATTCACTTCATTCATTTATTCAAAACTGTACTCTAAGTACTACTCTTAGGCCCTTATGCTCCTGTAATGCAAGTAATGCAGGGTCGCAAATAAACTACCAAAATCGTATTGAAGTCTATTTGAGGTACCCTATGCTATCATTATATCAGGACCCTGAGACCATACTGTTGACAATCATCTAAGCTCCTATAGTAGGTGTCTTGCAGGGTTTTGGGCGGTGGTTGTGAGGCTTGGCATCGTCAGGTGGACGGTCTCACTTCAGCTTTGCATTTTCAGACTTGCATGCTGGGCTTAACTTTAAGCCCAAATTCTAGAAGATCCCAAAAACTCAGCGATACAATCTGGATGAGTGGTTCATGCTCGGACTCTAGATGTGGGGTGTGCGCATACCTGAGTTATAATTTCTACTTGGGGGAGGTATCCATTCCGAAGGGCCCCAAACATGTGACCCCAAGCGTACTGCAAATTGTGGAATTCCGGGGACTTCCAGGAAGAGGATGCTCAATCTGCTGAAAACCAGAGATTCGAAGGCCTCAACCCTGAACTTGAAAAAGCGTGGGATCAAAAGACTCGCCGCCTGCCATCCTCCCCAGCGGAGGCCAACTATACAGTAATTAGTGCATGCCTGACCTTGCGCTTTTGCCATGGCTCTGTTCGCTCCCACACAAGAAGCACCATAGGGATGTACAGTACAAAGGATGGAGGGATAGTTGAGGGGGAGCGCTCTCTCTCAAGCACCATGAAGCGTGAGTTCCTCTATAACTAGGAACCCAGGGAAGCCTTCAAGGGAGCCTCGTGTTGTGTGGTTCTGTCTCCCTGGTGCCAAGTTAGGAAAGCAGGACTGCATTGTAATGACCGTTATACGGGATGGAATAAGGACGAAAAAAGGGATCCACTTCCTCAATCCCACTAGGCACCAGGTAGATATACCACCAACATCTCCCTACCCTCTTCGGATGAGCGCAGGTAATTCAGGGATTCAAACAAGGTACCGTGGTTCGCTAAAAGATCCATACTACAGCTTTACGCGGATAATAACCCATCATCAACCACCTTCTCCCGATAAGTTCAAATACGCAGAGCTACGCAGAGAGATCTCCAGGATCGATGGCAGGCGGGTCATCCAAATTCCAATCCTTGGGCGAGGCACCCAAGCCCTAACTTGTTTTGGGGTATCCTTCCTCGGTGTGAGGGAAAAGCCTGTGTCAATGAAGAAGCGGCTCAATAACAAAACAGGGGTCCAAAGGAATACCACACATTCCATGAGTTGGCAGACCCCGTTGAAGGGTCGTGAAGTGTGGCTACCCAGGCCCCTTCCAAGGATAAAAGCAATGAAGCCTACCCCCTGTTCCCAGCAATGAACTTGACCATGCGGTACTGGCCTCATGTTGCGGGGCTTCCGCTTTGAACCCTCAGGAGGTCTGGATACTGCTTGGAGTTGCAGGTGTATTACACCAGGCCCAAAGCGGAGAAAGGAAACCTTGCCCCATCAGGTCCAGAAATGCAGTATCGATTGATGTCTAGGGTACACAAGCTGGTGCAAAAATTTATCGCACCCACACGCGGACATTCAGAAGCGGACTTTTAACACGCAGCCTCGCACCCGAGCATACGGTGGGCTGCACCCTGTATCAGACCCAGATAGAAGCAGCGTGACAAGGCATTCAGGTAACTGCTGATTCAGGACTTCCAATACACTTCCAGGACCCTAAAGTCAAAACAGTCATCAGGATCCTTCGCACATTTTAGGGCATGTTTCTTGGTTGAAGCGCTTTAGAAGTCCTGCTAAACTGCTGACCAAGGATCCATGAAGACGGCACGCTTTTTCCAGACCTGTCAGAACAACTATGCTATGCCCAGGGTATTGAGCGGCTTAGGATACATGTGGAGGGCCAGTTATGACCGACTTATAGCTGCAATGATAACCAAATAATGGCCGTGCTTGAGGGACTTATGTTGTTACATTGCCAAATACTATATTGATATAGGCATCCAAGCCCCACACCCCCGAAAACATCCATAACTTCTGAGCCCTCTTAAACTCCAGGCCCCCTAAACTAGATCAGATTGGGTCCCCAAAATCGGACAAAACCCGCAAGAAGAACTCCTTCAACGGCGATATGGGGGGTTCTTAGAAGGACTTCCAGACTGGGGTCGCCTCGGATCTGCCTGAGAACCCCCATAAACCCCCAACTGTGGACCATGGCAGTACTGTTATCTACAGTAATTGTTAAACAGGGAAGATAGGATGCTATCTGATCATAGGTTGGGTGCTTCGCAACATAGAAACCAGGGTTTAGGAAGATGGCAAATGTTTGCTTGAGGTTTGTATTGAGATCATACTGGGCAACCCCTACTTTTAAATCGTAAGCAGGAAAAAAACCTTTTACCTGCCCGGCCTCCTTCTCCCCGTCCAACTTGCTTCCACAGCCGCAACAGGAGATCACAACATCAAAGTCCTCAGCCTTGAAGTCCTCAGCCGGAAGCCACACGATTCGGGGATTGGCTCAGGGTTCAGGGTCTAGGATGGTTAGGGTTAAAGGGGGTGTCAGGGTTCGGGCTTTCCAACTACCAGTGAGCAACTCCAAGAATATGCTCCCGGCTAGTTGCAAGTTCTTGGGCTTACTCTGTGTCCTGAGGTCGCAGTACCCGAATTGCGCAGGGTTTACGCCTTAGGGTCTCAGCACTCAAATGGCATATACTGAAGCCCTAGAATGCTAGAATCGTGCCAAAAGCCTCCGGTACCACAAAACCTTAGATTGTCTGGATCCCTCTGGGTTGGGCAGTTTGGGGTAGACTCTTCTCATGCGGCCATTATGGGTCCTGCTGAGGCGCAGGTGCCCTATAGAGG